CCTATTCTTTTGTGAGCTTCCTTCAACGTTTCTTCTACACCCCCCTCTACATATTTGTCTGCGATGAATTCTTGCTGCTCCTTGATACTTCTGTATTTGGTTTCGAGTATTGTAAATATTTGTTCTAGCCTTTTAATTGTGGCTGAATTTCAAACACCGTCTCAAACTCTTCAAACAATTCTTTTAAAGCATGTATAGCATTGTCTCGCTTCCCTAAGAGCGTTTTGAAGTTTATTTTAGGTGGCATCCTGAGCGATGGTTATTTATTTATTTATTTATTTTTTTTATGATAGTCTATATCCGGTTTAGCAGTGTCGTGTCCGTATAAAAATGTTCTTTAGCAATGGCGCCCCGAACGCCCGCGTTTTTGCTCAAACTAACGTTAATTCGACGAACAAAATGCTCAGTAATAATAGAAGCTTTGATTTACCTTTCAGTGATATTTGTGATGTACGAATTATCTTCAAGGACGGTCTGTCGCTCGTTTTGGCTATCGGTTGTCCTTGAAACAATCGTTGAATGACTCGTATTATTATAAACTTTAAATATAAATAATCTCTTCCTCAGTCGAATGGCTTGTGATTCCTTCGGTCTGTAGAATTTTGACTGTTTCGCATCTACGCCAACCGGGGAGACGCTACTTTGTTTGAAGCAAATCACATTGAAATACCCAAATCTGTTTTCTCTTTCTGCACTAATACTTTATTTTGTAAATAGTCAACTATATAAATCAAGCAAAATTACAGCTATTACAACAACTCAGATATACTGATAATTGAAGGTTGCAGCAAGACTGACTTACAATTCGTGAGGCATAATCTGAGTATCCTTGCCTTTTCCTAAGTTATTATTTTTAAGTTTTTTGTTCACTGTATTTAACATAACAAGTTCGCTTTTTTAGTTTCTTTCTTTCCAATTCCGCGAAGCTTCCTCGCCGTTTCACTTCCTGCGTCCCACTCCCCTCTCAACACCGGCGATCGCAATATCTTAACACACGAACTGCCTTTTTGCGAGATATTTAAAAACGTTTCCTGCCAAAAAACGTACACCGGTACACGAAGGACACGAAGCGAAGGTCACAGTTCAGTTTCAGGCACGCCACAAATCTGATATCTGGTTGCAGGACACCATCATTAAAACGAGTGGGCCGAGGAAGGGTGGAAAAGATGTGTCAAGAGATGGTATAATTCATCTGAATGCATGTGAAAACTAATAGTTGTTCCAATGAATATTGTCAAACATAGGCAAAATATCGCTAATGTACCGTTTTGCTTTTACTTCCAACAATTAAACATAACTATTGATGGCACAATATAATTTTTCCCATAATTTACCTTGAAACACCAACTCTTTCATTAATTATCCGTGAATATACGAACATTAAATTTACGAGTAATCTGCGAAGACAATACAGTAAAAAATAAATTCCACAAGCGCTTCAGTCTCGGTGAAATGCGAAATATTTCGCACGAAATGAATTCGTAGCTTACATGCGCAGTATTCTCTTCGCCAAGTCATTAAAAGTAAGTTCTGCTCACTGCGAAAGCGAATAAAGTAGCAAAATACAATATAATCACTCATATGCAACCATCCATAATATTGCGCAGACACAATTTCTCGCGAAGAATTTCGCAGTCGGTTCCGAAAACCCGCCATCGGTCCGACTGATTTTCCGACTGATTTTCACTTCAAACGATTCCCTAGCTGATAAAATAGATGACTGAAGCAAGATTTTCGCAAATATCGACGAAAAGGTGCATTTTAGGATGTGATTTGATTGGAATAATTACCTTGTAAAAATGGTGCTTATACACTCGCAATTTTTCGACAGCTGATTGCTCTCAAAGATCTTTGAAAAATTTTTGAAAATAGGCAGAAAAAATCTTTGAATTGAAAGTCTTTGAATTTTTTTGGTCTTGGAGACTACGAACCCTGATTTCGATGAATAGGCAAAGGATAAACATGCAGGTATTCAAAGAACGGGGTTACGACATAGAATACAATTTGAATACACTACAATTCAATATAACTGCAGAGTGTAAAAATAATAAATGGGACTTCAGTGATCTGGTTTCTGCACTTCACTTGGTAATATTAGAAAGCTGTTTTTAGGGTTTGTAATCCAAGTGAGTATATATACATTTTAAGACCTAACCAGGAACGACTGCGAAAGGTCCTCTGGTAGGAATTCGGTCCTCTGGTAGGAATTCGGTCCTCTGGTAGGAATTCGGAACCTACGGCCCTGCGATTCCGGTGCAGCGCTCTAACCAACTGAGCTACAGAGGTATAGGTGATCGGGTGTGCGGGTTGTGATAAGGTGGACTTCAATGATCTGGTTTCGACCAGCTGTTTCGGCATACTTTGTCTATTGAAATCTGATCTATCTTTGCTTAGGGACCGCTCATTATTTATTGTACAGGGGGGGATTGAGGAGAAACTGGGGGGTGGGGGTGATAAGGAACAAATGTTCAATATCATCCTTATATATAGCCTGCGTGCAGTCCCAGACTCCCAAAGGAAGTAGGGACTGCGCAACTTCGAACGAAAGCTTGCTACGCCCGCTCAGCCCGTTTTCCAGATTTTTGGGAAAATAATTTGTGCAAGAAAATTAATACGTTAAATATGCTGCCGCTCGAATAACAAATTAATTAAACAAATATGGCGTTGTGATGGAGCGTTTTATTTATATGCTGAGTTTCTGTCGCTATTTCTACAGCGTGTGCGCTTCTAAATGTTGAAAAGAGAAGCCTTGTGTAATTTCTTTGAATAGAAGGATTCTTTTAGTGCTCGTACTGGCTATGAAAAGTACTATAGTACTACCTACTTCCTTTGGGAGTCTGGGACTGCACGCAGGCTACCTTATATACCGTAAATTTCAAGCATGACAACGATCCGATACAGATCGCGCTTCCCAACCAACATTTCGCTTTGGGAGTGTTCATTATTTAAACCCGGGGTTGGTACCGAAGAGAAATGGGTTGGGTAAGCCATTTTTCTGGGGTATGAAGGGTTGGGTAAATATTTTTTTGAACAAAGCCTATGGTTGAGTAAATTATTTTTAATACAAACGTTCAATAGAACAAAATAATGAAAATCCTTTATTTAACAAAATAGGTCATTCCAGGAAATATCCATTCATTCCCCACAAAGAAAATTAAACTTCAACTCCCCATCCCCTCTGATTACAACAACGAGACATAGTAGGGCTGCAGGAACTTGGGAACATAATATGAACTTGTGAAGGTACAAATGATTATATTTTACATTCAGTTACTGCACCAAATATGCTTCAAAAACTCATTAATAATTCATAAGCTTATTGGCAAATCATGTCAACCGTAATAAGTCACGTGCAGTGGCTTTAAACCTGATAAAACACTCCTAATTAGTATTCTTTATATAAAGAATACTAATAAGGCAGTATCTATTGTTGTCGTGTCCTCATTAGTATTTTTTTATATAAAGAATACTAATAAGGCGGTAGGCCTATATCTATTGAATTTGTAGTCGTGTTTGAAGCCGTTTAATAAACTCGCAGGTCGTGTTTTATGTAATGTTTACAACATGAGCGGCCGTGTTGTATCAGTTGTGGCCTAGCTTGTATAAATAACATATATGTATGTATGTATGTATGTAAAATACTTGCGTCTCATTTTGAAATTGGGTTGGGTAAAATAAAAATCCAAGTCATGCAATAGTTGGGTAGGGAAAAAAATGGTTGACCGAAAGGGTGGGTGGTTTTTTTCTTTTCTCTTTTCGATTAGTTTCTCTTCGGTACCACCCCCGAGTATAAATAATGAACACTCCCTTAAAATCCCGAATCCCACTTGAATTTTTAGACCCATCCCGCAAGGTCCCTCTTATAATATAGCATGAAAATTCCGTATTTTCGTCCAAAAGAAGTTCGTAGCAAAAATCTCTAAATTCCCTTCTCGTTATCCTTGCAGACGTGTACGAAAATTTATTTCTAAACAGCTTTTTAGCATAAAAATATTTGTGCTACACAGCTATTGTATGTCGTGAAAAAACATTGCAGAAAAATACATATAAAACCGCTTGAATACAAGGAGTATTTTACTTTGATTGGCTTGAGGGCGAATTCTGAAAAGTTTAGCAGAATCAAAGGATAGCAATATCAAAAGATAAACGTCAATTGTGTTGGTTTGAATCAATATGTTCAAAATTTTAATATAAATTTCAAACGATTCGCACAAAATCGATTTACTTACTGTTATCTATTGCCATGCTAACAAAAATAAGTGACAATGTCAATGAAGATTAATAAAAAAACTTAGCCTAACATGCAGAATGATTTATATGGATTGTCTATAATATAAACGCAATACAAAATTCAACACATTACAGGATGGGATATACAACTGTTCACTACAATTAATGATAAACTGCTAAATATTTCATCATGTTCGAATTCAATCAAATCGTGCATGTTATAATGTTTATTAATCCCAACGCAATGTGCTTATGAAAAATTCGTCGAAGACAAATCTGAGACCAATCTCCGGATTTTCAGTGGCAAAATAATTAATTACCTCTTGGTCGGTTTTCTTTTCGTCAAACATTGCCTTGATGCCTTTGGCCAATAGCTCGGCCAAAACATAACCATCCTTTGGGAAAGGTAAACCTTCATCACTTTCTTTGTCGACCATTTTTTTAACCTGATCATATGGTTTCTTCATGGAATAACCTCGAATGGCATAATACAGGGATTTTTGATAGCCATCAAAGTTTCCTGATATCTGTTTCCACATTTTGGACATTTTGACAAGCCCATCGTATTTTTTCTCCGGTAGACCAGCGGCCTTCACGATGATATCTAACATTTTTGTCATTGATTTTTTGTAAAGATCAACCTTAAATTAATGAAAAGCCTAGATGAAAACAATGTTTGAGACATGCAGGGACAGCTTGGAACACATGAATGTTTAGGATGTTTACTATATTCTGCAGTGTTGTAACGAGTCACCTACAGGTCGAGTCACGAGGCGAGTCACTCAAAGGTTGAGTCACGAGTCGAGTCACTTCAGTTTTTGATCGAGTCGAGTCATTTCAGTTTTTGATCGAGTCGAGTCAGTGGCTTCACTCGAGTCGAGTCGAGTCAGCGGCTTCACTCGAGTCAAGTCGAGTCACTGATTTAAGTCGAGTCGAGTCAATTTCTAGATTTGACTTGAGCTACCCTAGCTTGCAGTCGGAAATTAGTCATCAAATTTGCGTTTTAAACTACAGATTACTTTAGTCTTTAATAATAGTATCTGGGCAGCTATAGCCAGGCTGTGCCAATATCACAGTTCTAGTCAATATTCAGTACAACCGCATGAGATGTCTCATCTTGCCTGCTGATTGAGTGTACGTACATACAACTAGCAAAACTTGCAACTGGAGTCAGAATTAACAAAGAATAGACTTTAATTAACAGCGCTTTGTAAGTTAATTTGAAATTATATAGCCCTTCATAAATACCAAAAATGAAAATAGCCTGTCAGAATTAGTATAAGTACAAAAAAGTTTGAGACTCAATTTTAAAAACTGTGGCACTAGCGTTGTTTCTAAAAACAGAAATGTAATATAGGTATGCCCGTCAGGAATATATTCTATGCAAATCCCATATATTTTCTGATAAGTTTCAAAGTTCTCATTGTTTACAGGGCTCATTGTTCTTCCCAAGCAATACAATCACAATAATTGTGATGAATTTACTCTGTACAAGATGTAGCTGAGTTGACTCGAGTCATTTACGGCAAAATCAGCAAGTCGAGTCCGAGTCGAGTCATTTGGGGCTGTTGACTCGAGTCGAGTCGAGTCATTTTTCGTATTGGACTCGAGTCGAGTCGCTGAAAATAGCGACTCGAGTTGACTCGAGTCAGAGTCAATGACTCGACTCGTTACAACACTGATATTCTGTGTCTGTGCTGCACAATGTTGATACATTTATATATGTACAAACATATAATGTAACTTGTAACAAATAAATGTAACTTGGTCATTTCCCAAACCTTCTTTGCAATTTTTAGGTCTCTTCATTTTAAGGTAGTTAGAAAGGACTGCATGCAATATATGAGTGGTCCATGTCTAGTCAGTTTATATTAACTTTGGAAAGTGTAAGGATGGTTTGGAACGCATTGACCGTGTATTGTAATTTTGTGTCGTTGCTTTGTTAAAGTTTGTAAGCCTGTCTCTATTGTTTTACAATGTCAATGTAATGTGTAGGTAGGACTTAATTTGGACTCCTCAGTCCTGTTGTCTGTACCTTCAATCGTTTTGTTGATTGTAAAGTTTATAAATAAATAAATAAATAAACCTGCGTTTGCTTGTTCTCCACCTCGGCGAGTGCCTTGTTTAATTCAACAATTGACCAAGTTCCTAGCCCGATGGTTGCTAAGAATGCTGCTGCTCCAAACACTATCCCGCCGATGTCGAGACCCAAGGACATTTTAGATAGCCTACCTTTGGGAAGCGTGGTGGTTTTGTTTTTTGGAACCCGGACGGTTTCCTTGTTCAAGGGGACTCTGCCAAAGCCAGCCGCATCTAATTCAATAGCCTCCTCCTCAGCTGGCGAGCTCTTCTTGGCTGCCTTGCGCGCACGAACCTTGATAATTAACTTGATAACACCACTAAGAGTACCGGCACCTGCTCCAATCCAGCCCATCACTTGAGCCGCGGATTCAAAATCCTTCACGAATTCGCTCGGGTTCATGGCGTTTGAAATGTCGTCTTTCACCATTTCTAGGAAATTGCTCGGTAACATGTTAACGGATTTCTCGAGACGTTGTAAATTGACAGTTGTTAAATAGTAAACGTGGTCGTATAGATTGCCCGTATCATTCACAGCGTCTTTGAGTGTTTTGACTTTCGCATTCAAGTCGTCTCTCTTCTGTTGTTCTGCAACGCTAAAACCAATACCGGCTCCTATGCTACTTACCCCTAGCAGAATATTGGTGAGCGGAAGAGCAATACTAGCCATTTTCGATATAGGTGTAAGAGTTGTAAATACGATATGATATTTGAGGTCTGGTCACTTGGTATTTATATGCTCGAACCACTGAGTCGCGAAGACGTGTGCTAAAACCTGGACTGTGGACGGTGGACGATGGACAATTTTTATTGTTTGCTACTCTTATAATATATTCTTCTTATTTTATTATTAACTATGAATCATTTATTTAATAAATACTGCAAATTGTATCGATGTTCAATAATAAATCGAACATGAACGCTCTGAAAGCGAAATTTAAACATAAAAAGTCGATTGAATCGAGGAATTTAATTGTAATCGTTTTAGAATTTCAACCATGAAAATGATCTTTGTTTATGAGAACCGCATGACTTAAATCCATATGACGACAGCAAGACGAAATTATTTAGACGAAAACAATGAAAATGATCTTTGTCCCTTCGAATCGGATGATTAATTCCTCATGGCGACTGCAAGACGAAATGATTCGAACGAAAACATGAAAATTAACTTTTTTTTCGAACCGGATGAATAGTTAGTATAATTATCATTAACGATCAATTATTTTGTGTAGTGGAATTTAAATCAGTTATGTTGTTATGAAAAGCTTCTTCTAGTCAGGGCCATTTTAAGAATTTGTCCGTTGGGGGGGGGGAGCATCTATACAGAAAGGGACCACACTACACTGAGTATTGTGTATGTATTAGTGTGATCTCGTATGTACTAGAAAATTTCCCCAGAAACGTTTTGTAATTTTCCATCTCTAGGACTATACATTTCGTGCGCTTTCTGCGTTTTTTGGAGATACAAATTATACTGTAGATAGACTGAATCACTGCCTTCAGTTAAGTTATGTAAATATCACAACTCACTCGCAAATTGTTTAGCCTATAACCTTGCCTTCCAACAATAGGGTCTGGAAATTTAAAGTATTTACAACACATGCAATGTTTAGCATTTTTAAAAAGACATTGAATCATTTGAAGATAAAAGACAGGACATAAGATTCACAAAACAAATTTCAGTTACTAATTTAAACCTCCCTTCTAAATTCCATTCTTCTTTCAATGTTTTGCTTATAGAGAAAGGGGACTTTGACTGGGGGGGGGGGGCAAAATGGTTGAGTGGAGGTGCATGGGGCTGTGGGGCTTGGCCCCCTAATTACATGCTTCTAGTGTGTACAATATACCTTTGACGAGACTACTACCTTTGAAATTAATAATGATTAGTTCACTCCCTTGTATAATGGCATAGATTTATTTCATTTACATATCACATGAAACTAAAATATCTTGGGAACGAAAAAAGATAAGCTAGAAAAGTTATCCAGTGAACTTATTTTACAGTTTTACATGCTCTTTCTGCCTAAAATTAATGCCGGCTGACTTGAATTTCGTTGCCATTGCAGTAAACTCGCCTGTTTTCATGCCCATGGGCAAATATCACAGAAGACAAGACTTTGTATAGAGGAAATTACGCCAACGTTGAGGCAATTACGCCAAAGCTAAATAAAGATTTAAACAGTTTCGAAATATTTTGCCGTAATTTGGAGATAGAAAGATAGTTGCATTCTCAAGCATTTTGTGGGTTTTTTTTTCTCAATAATTAGTATATTGTGCTTTTTAAAGATGTTTCGTTATCTTGATACCATTGTCATAAAGCACATTAATAAGATCCGGCCTTGACCTTGGAGACTGACCTTGAGGCTTGCATGGTAAAAATAAATATAATTGTTTTGTTTTGTTCATTTCTTTGTATCGGCTATGGCGAAGCTTTCTACCCAAATCCATTGGTGCTATAATAATTTAATACATTGGTGAAGATCCATGCAGGCTTAGTGGCTTAATGATCGAAAGCTAGTAATACAAAATAAAGTGGTCTTTCCACAAATACCAAACAAGGGGACTTTGCCCCCCTATAGTTGTATAGTTAAAAAGGCTCTGCTTCTAGTGTATATAGAGGTAATTCAAAAAGGTTGCCCTTCGATCATCTGAAACCTTAAACTCTATGAGCACAAAGAGTGATGGGTAACTTCTTTTTAGAAAATGTTGTGCTGAGTAGTTATATTACTACCTGAAATAAACAAGCAGAAACTCGACGTTTCGAGCGAAGGCCCTTCGTCAAGAGTTAGTAGAGGGCCTCGCTCGAAACGTCGTGTTTCTGCTTGTTTATTTCAGGTAGTAATATAACCACTCAGCACAGCATTTTCACATTGGTACTACCTACACTGGTACAGACAGTTTTAGTAACTTCTTTTTAGGGCTTAAGTAAGAAGTTACCCATCACACCTTGCGCGCTTAGAGTTTATGGTTTGAGATTTTTGAAGGACAACCTTATTTGAAACAGCTGTATATATAGTGCCATGATATTGAAAATGTGAACTTCGCAAGTTCACTCCAATGTTTGAACTTTGATTTTGATTCTAATCAACTGTTCATGGTTCAAGTTGAAAACAGTTCAATGGAAAAGGGAAATTCTTGGCCTCATCTACACAAAATTTATACGAGACCAATAAATCTCATTGTAACAATAAATTAGTCATATGTAATGTTTACATTTCAGTGCGACAGTACAGTTTAATAAGCAACTGCTGTGTGCAACTTTCGTTCATGCAAATTTCTTGCCTCAGTTATATACTTTCAGTTATATACTTTCCTAGAAATGCTTTTTCTTCACCTATTGTATTTTTGAAAGTTTGAAACGAATGCTGACCATGCAATGCAATGGGAATAATGCTATTGTAAGAATTCATTGTAAGAATTGTAATCTCGTCACTTTCAACATCCTAAATTAAGAGCGTTTCACACCATAGGCATATAGAAATCACAGCTACAAATGCATAATGACTATAATCTGTGATTGGGCGGAGGTCGCATGCTTGCCATGCGATTATATAGAGCATTTTATGTCACACAGAACTTCCAGTTCATGTAGGATCGGAAGCAATCATTTTTAATGTTGTTTACATAGAGGGTACTAGGGTTTTAATAGTTTAGATCTTGTATCTGCATGTCCTTACTTCTTCACTGTTATTCTTGCAAAATATACTTAATTCTTCATTGTCAATTATAACGTACATTTGTGATATCATTTGATTTGGTTTTGCAATTCACCTGCATTAGTCCGTCATTACTCATTAGGGAGTTTAAGCTTCGCGTTATACGTCCAACGGCAAACTCCAGGCAAAGAAAAATTTTACGGTATCAGGCAATAAAGAGCAAATGAACTTGCTGTTTTAAAACTGAAATACATAATTATTCTTTTGACGCAAGAAAGAAAATATGAAACGAAAACGTTCAACGACAATTTTGCCCAGAAAGTTCGAACCTGCCGTTTGCCGTTCCCGGAAACGTGAAGCTTAAACTCCCTATTATAACTGATAACACTTCGTCGAGGTCCAGTGTGAAGAGACACTAAACTAGACTAGCTATATATTTCATTTAATATACTCATGATGAGTGGATAAGTTTCAATTTCGCCGCGAAAGGCTTGTTTGATTGCATGCCGGAAATATATTTGTTTGGTATTTGTGGAAACATCACGTTTATTTTGTATTACTAGCTTTCGATCTGTAAGTCTGCATCATGGATCTTCACCAATGTATATTAATGAAATTATTATAGCACCAATGGATATGGGTCGAAAGCTTCGCCAAAGCTGATACAAAGAAATGAACTTGTCCATGCACAAAACAAAACAATTATATTTATTTTTACCATGCAAACCTTACCTACAAGGTCAAGGATCTTATTAATGCGCTTCATGGCAAGGGTATCAAGATATCGAAGTATTTAAAAAAAAACCCACAAAATGCTTGAAATTCTTTAAATCTCGAAACTCTTTAAATCTTTATTTAGCTTTGGCGTAATTTCCTCTATACAAAGTCTTGTCTTCTGTGATATTTGCCCATGGGCATGGGCATGAAAACAGGCGAGTTTACTGCAATGGCAACGAAATTCAAGTCAGATTTTAGGCAGAAAGTAAAAGTGTAAAATAAATACACTAGACAACTTTTCGTTCTCGAGATAGTTTTATAGTTTCATTTGATATGTAAATGAAATAAACTCTATGGCATTATACAAGGGCCGGGTAACTGCATGAATATTAGTTTCAAAGTTATAGTCTCGTCAAAGGTCCAACGTGCAGCAAGCAGGTGCTCTTGAGTCTTGGTTTATAAAGTTAGTTTAGTTAAAGTTTCCTCCTGTAGCTGGTGACACACTCGACCAATGAAAGATAGTCCTTATATACTGGACCTTTAGGGAGAAAAGTTTAGAACTGACAATATATATATTAGCCTGCGTGCAGGCCCAAGGGAACTTGATAGTGGGCCTGCAACCATCACCCCATGTTTTCGATTTTCGCCGGCCGAACCGCCGGCTAAATTCCCATTGGCTAGCTGAGGCGATCGGTAATTAATTAACCTAGCCCATTGTGCAGGCACAAGAGAACAGTGATTCATCACAAAGGCATAGACAAAGGCTCTCGATAAGCTTAAAATTTGAAAATTGATCACTTTTTTCGATTACAAATGGAACAAGAACAGACTGTTTATTGTTTACTTGAAGGAAGACATGTTTTGCCGTTATGCCAATGGGGATTGCTTGTCGTGAGGTGTTGGAATAGCAAATTACGACTGGGGTAAACTATAGTAACCTTTACTTGAGTTTCATTAATTTCAAACAGACTTCAGTTGATACGTTATGTGTTCTCACTTCCTCAAGAAAATTATCTTTTGGTTGATGTTGAGATGCAGTTGCATGTAAGAACTGTAAGCCTATTCGAAACACTTTGCGATTTACAAGGCTTCGCAGAGAGACTGAGCGAAACAGAAGGCGGTATTAAATTGCCGTTTGAAACGAAACGATCTGGACTCGGAACGCTCTCTTCTTTTGTAGAGTTCTTTACCAAATGAAATAAATTTCGTACTTTCCGCCGCCAACAAGAATTGCACACACGATCTGATAAGTGAGACAATTTACTTATAACAATGCCAATGGCGACAGCGAAGCACACATAAAATCCTAATGTGATCGCCCGACTTCCCTCATGATTTGAAGTTTGAGACTGGTTTTCTGTTGAAATTCGTCCTAATTTGCCTGTTCCGATTTTAGTTGAAAATGAGCACTTGCAAATTTGGCAATACTGACTGCGTTGCTTGCTTTTTTGGAGTTAAAACGCAGC